AATTTGAGGAAGCTCGTCGGATTTGCTATTGTTCAATCATCATGGCCCTTTGGTGCGCATCAGATACCGAGTCTGGAACAAAAAGATTCAATATATCTTGAATCAAAACACTCAGCACTCCAATATAATGTGAAACCAACTGATCCTCTATCTCGCGTACATCTATGCGTGTGAGGAGTCGATAAAACTCTTCGGTGTACTCTTCTACCGATTGCGCCCCTTGTCGCATAGATTGGAATTTTTGGTAGATCGTACGACGATAATTGAAGGGTGAAAATTCCTGCTCGAGATGTTTGTGGAATTTAGCCGAAGATGTAATTTTGGATTTTCCCATGCGATATAGCTTCGACTTGAGTTGCATGAACCAATGCGCGGGCCTTCCACACAGCCTAGTCTCGATGAACTCTACCCGGCGATCATCCAAAACATCCTTGAAGTCGAGGATCGAATCCACAGTAGCAAGCCAACCGAAAAACTCCGCGGCATCGAGCCCGCTTGTGAATTCCGGTACCTCAATTTGAAAGCTCGACTCCCAGCGGTTGTCGCTTCTTTCTCCCACGACGTTGACCGCGAGGCATTTTTGAGCCCTCATCGTTCCGGTGTACCGAACGTTACTCGCCATGGTCGTCTTCTCGATGCTCCCGTCGGCTGCCGAAGGGATTGACGTCCGAAAGGGTTTCCTCGTCGTCGTCCAAGCCGTGTGTCGAATGTGGCGAACGCGTCCGGGGCGCCCCGAACGACCCTCTTCCGCCACGGCCTCCATGAAACCCGCCGCGACCACCCCGGCCTGTGGTGTCGCGATTCATCTGCTTGTCGTGCATCATGGTACGGATGGAAACACGAATTTATTCGACCCCCTTAGAAAGACCTTCAACACGGCGATCCATTCGATCGATTTGGAACCCTAGATCATCAGTTCGACGATCCAAATCTTCAAGATAGGCATCCCGTCGTTCGTTGTCGTTTCGTTTTGGCGACATCTTGAATCATCTCAGTCTGCTGATACCAACTGATGTAGAGCGTGGTGGACAAAAGGAAAATATGAGAAGAACTCATGTAAAATTCAATAATCTGATTCAATAAAATTCGTCCTCCTCAAACTGAAAGCAAAAAATATATATGACTCCTACTATCCTAATATTACTTATCTTGCTTAACAAGATAATTATTTAATTATTAATATTGCTTAAATAACTAAGAAACTAAATTAAGAGATAAATAATATGCAGGAATTAAATCACTAAATAAACCGCTAAATACGAAGCCGGTTATATTTCTCCAAGAGTACCATCGCGATCTCGTCTCCATCAAATAATGATTGTCGATATGTAAGATAGAAAAAGAGAGAAAGCAAATATTTTTTCATTTTTTCATTTCTGAAAATACTTTTTTTTCTACATTAAAATGAGAAAATAATAAACGTCATCCCATGCACATTTTGAGGTGGTTTATTTGCCGAAGGATCATCAGATGCTTTGAATTCACTTTCATCAACACAATAAAAGAAGCATTCCCTCACCAATTCTAACTAAAAAAATATAAAAATGCATTACATTCAGTAAAGAACTGAAAACAAATAAAACTTAAGTTTCATTCATTATCAACACCTCACAACATTCCAAAATGTTTTTTTCCTACATCATACACTCTCCACGGTTGTCCCAACATGTTGGATCACAAACCCATAAATCTTCCTCTTCAGCCGCTCGATTTTCTCCATCAGCAACTCGTCTCGTTTGGACGCCACACGGTCCAACCAGTCGTTGACCCGCTTTAGCTGCGACAAAACGGCCGCCATGGGCCCACCGCCGGCGGCAACACTACTCCCAAATACCTGAAAACCGGCATTGAGAGACGACTCCACGAACCTCACAAACCACATCTGCATCTCGATCTGCAAATTCTTACCGAGCTCAACCGTCTCGTTCATTCCCACACACCGGCTCCATTTTCCGACTAATAATGGGGAGGGTTTCGTGTTGCTATTCTTAAAAGGAGTGTCGGCCGATGTTCGCTTCTTGTCGGCTTTTGGAGGAGTTTGGAAATTTTCATTCGTGAGTAAGGAGACAACCTCGAGATTCGTAGCCAGAGCAGCTTCCACCCAAAGTGTGCTGCTGCTGCTGCTGTTGCTCGATTTTAACTCGGATAAGTTACCGTTACCAGAAATTGCTTCAGCGGATGCTGTTGATTTTAGGACCTCCTCATAGATGGACATGAAACGGTCTATGGTTGGTAGCGGGTTTTCAGGTTTCGAGGTTGCAATGAGCTCTGAGAACATGCTGAAAACAACAAGAGATGCTTCATGAGATGGAACACAACAGAGCACAATACCAAATTCCAAATGACCTTCCTACCTATTCATTATTACAGAAAAGTTTAAAGTGTGTACACATCATGCTAAACGTTTATACGTAATATTGGAATAATAAATCTAACTATACATATTTGCCATGTGGCGTTTGATTTCGACTCTCTCAGCTCTTATAATTTCTTTGTAACATGGGCTGGAACATTCGTTGTGAATTTAAACTTGTTTCATGAGTAAGTATCCAAGTTCATTATTGCCTTTTCTACAAATGTTTCAAAAGTTGTATAAATGAACAAACAAGTGTTTGTTGACTGCACTGACCACATGAAATCAATCCTTCTGAAGAAAGTGCAATAATTAAGCAAAGGGCAACAGACAGCAAGATGCAACAAAACATAGGGTTTTGGATATTTTTATCATACTAGTTATGCATACGTAGAATTCCTTATGCTGATCCAATCGAACCAATCGAACAACAAGCTTCATATTCTCATCTAATGATATATCATTCAAGCAATAGAAATGAATGAAAAAGTAGTTTCGTGCACAATGAGATTGACAGAGTTTAATTTGTAAAGGATTTCACAGGAAATTTTGGTTAGAAACAAAAATTCAAAAGCTAAAACAACTGAATTTTCAACTACTAAAACCCAAAATTTGGCATTTGGAATTGATATGTATGTAGGCTGACAGGGATAATGGAATATACAACACCATACCCTCACAGTGAATGGTTGTCAATGAGACCACAACGCCAAACATAACACAAATAGGTAACATGATTAACTATGAACAATTTTTCAAAAAGCAAAATATAGTAACGCAGCAGAACCGAAGGAAGCAATAAAATGAAAGAACCAACTATCCTATGCTCATTTGATGTATGGGACCATCCGAAACATGATAATGAAGAGGCCTTACTATAACAATTTAATATAATCACCAGAAGGGCAATGCACTTTAGCTGAGTGTTCACTCGGGCATCTGCGTTCTATATTACGAAACAATTTTAAAAGATCATCACCTGCAAAATTCATGTACAAATACAAGCAGCATACCTTAGATTTCTCACGATTGATTCTGTGGCAATGGCCTCCTCCAAAGCTTCAGCAGCAACAGCTGAAGCAATTTTCCTTCTTTCCATAGCATCCTGAACCAAGAGCAGATCAATATCAGATTTGTATTTAGACGCTAAATCACGATGGTTAATGAAACCATCATGGCCCCTAAAGTAGCATATACTGGCTGGCAGATGAAGCTTAAATTGTGAATTCGTAGATGATACCTTCCCAAGTTTTGCAAGACCAGAAGAAACCATATCCAGTGAGACACTGCCATCAGTCCATTTCTTTTCATGGATAGTGATCACTGGAGCAGCACCATTGGCTTTCTCCTGCTCTACAGAGCTTTCAGATTTTACATCGCTTGGCGGATTATCATGAACATCACTTAGACGCCTGGATATAGCAGCCTAAAAACGGAATATCATCCATAAAGAAGACCGTTGAAAATTCTTATTGATCTCAAACAGTACATCCAAACTGTAACTTCATAGAGCACAAAATATATATCCATATATATGCTTTCCAATTCTGACATATAGGTAATCTAATAGTGTATATGGCTAAACTACAAAACAAGATTGAATGGTTCTAAAATAACATGTGTACCAAGATGTAAATCAAATACATCCAAAAAATAAAAAGAAAAACTAAAGA